TTCCTCCTCCTCCTCCTCCTGCTCCACCTCCTCCTGGCCATGGCAGTAGGAGGCTGGATACCTTCCCCTCTCCCCCTCCCTGTCCTCCTCCTCCCACTCCTCCTCCTCCTCCTCCTTCTCCTCCTCCTCCTTCTGGTGGTGGTGTCAATCGCCACGAGGATAAGGGGTTCGTAGTGAACGGAATTCCTTGATGTTTTCGCCGTTTTCGGACTGTCCGAGCCATTCCCGGGTCCCAAGAGTTTCAACAGACTATTCGGGATGACGTTGTTTCTTGGTAAAGCCTTGGGGGCCAGTTTCCAGAGGAAGGAGGCGGTGGCGTCAAGGGGCCTCCCCCCCGTCTCCGTCCTCCTCCTCCTCCTCCTCCTGGGCATGTCTGTGGCCAGGAGTGGCCATGCGGGAAGGGGAACGTGAGGGGAGGGGAAGCACCGCTGTCACCTTGGGCCTTGTTTGGCCTTGGCCACTGCGATCCACGGCTTCGCGTGTGATAAGCCCCGAGCGAGACAAGCATCGCTGGCAGCAGTGGGTGTGTCTATAGGCGGTCGCACCAGACCAGTCCACCAAGAACGCGAACCATCGTGAGTGTCCGTTCAAGAATGCCGTGCGAGAAACTGGCATGATATAGGTTGAGAAGGAGCAGGAGGATGAAAGAGTAGGAGGATGAGGGGAGATGAGGAGGATGGGGCTAGGTGTCGAGCTCCTGGTGGGCATGCCCCTTTACGACGTCCTCGGAAAGCATGCTGCCTTGGCGGGCCTCCTGCCTCTGATACCAGATTGTGCCCCCCTCTGACAGCGCTAGAGGTTCAGCTAACGACTAGTGGGGCACAACAGATGGGCAATCGGTATACATCGTGGCTCGTGTTCCTAGTATGTACACTGCTGCCGCGGAGATGCCGTATTCGCCGCCTTGTGGGGTCTGAGGCCAGGGAGCCCGCAGGAGTCTATGAACAGAGCCTAGCAGGGCCCTGCCACGGCTCATAGCCGTGCTTCCAAAGCCCGTGGGAGTAAGCTTCGAAATCAGGCGTTGTGTGTAGGATACATGCACGAACAGGTGCCGAGAAACCTCACTACAAAGGCTAGAGCGGCCAGGTCAGCGGGAAGGTATGGTTCAGCAGCTGTCTGGATGCTGAAGGCGACAAACGTGTCGCCAATACGGGAAGCCTAAACAATATTAGGATCGCCGCCAATCCTGGAAGCATGGCGATGATGATGATGCTGCTGCTGCTGATGCTGATGATGATGATGCTGATGATGCTGATGCTGATGCTGCTGATGATGACGATGATGGTGATGCGGATGCTGCTGCTGATGATGGCGATGATGCTGCTGCTGCTGCTAATGAAGATGATGATGATGATGCTGATGATGATGATGATGATGATGATGATGATGATGATGATGAGGCTGATGCTGCTGCCGATGATGAGTATGCTGCTGCTCCTGCTGATGATGATGAGGATGATGATGATGATGATGGTGGTGATGATGATGATGATGATGATGATGATGATGATGATGATGATGATGATGATGATGATGATGATGATGATGTTGATGATGATGATGATGATGCTGATCATGGTGCTGATGAGCATGACGATGGTGAGGATGAGTAGGAGGAGGAGGAGGAGGAGGAGGAGGAGTAGGAGGAGGAGGAGGAGGAGGAGGAGGAGGAGGGGAGGAGGAGGAGGAGGAGGAGGAGGAGGAGGAGGAGGAGGAGGAATAGCAGAATTTGCAGGGGAGGAGCAGGACTGCTCGCCAAGTGGGTCCCTCCTCCCTGCTCAGCAGCCGGGCGTGTTCGAGGATCTGAACCCCGCCGCCACGAACCCGATGGTGCGGAAGTACGCCGCCGACTCGGATCAGGCCCCTCCCGAGGAAGCGAGAAGGGGCGGGCCTTCTCAGAAGGCTCGGGAACCCTCCTGCTTTCAAAGAATTTTTCGAAGCCTTGACCGAAGACGCAGAACAACTTCTCAGAAGGCCAGAGGGCTTCTGATAAACCCCGCCGCCTTCCGAGGAGGTTTCCTTCGTCTTACTTCTCCCCCTTGCTCGCCGCCAGCACACCTCTTGGGGTTTGGTGTCCTGCAAGTCACAGAAATCAGGGTGATCTATGTCTGGGGTGCTGTAGGAACTGAGTACTTCTTCGCTTCTCGCCCCCAGAAGAAGAAGAAGAAGCGCCGCAATGGTGGCGCGGCGTCGCCTGCTGGCACTGCGTCTGGTAGGGTGCTGCTCCGCTTCCGTGGTGGTTGAGGTGCGCACCGACGGAGGATATCGGCGCGAGCACGTGGCGCCCTCCAGGGAGGGCCTCGTCTCCGAGGATCGCAGGCGTTGACATGTCGTCGTCCCCGGCGGACGGGTGGCGGAAGACGGGGGAAGCAACATTCGGGGGCGGCAAAGAGGGGGGTGATGACTAGGGGGGGATGGATATCATGGCGGGGGCCATGATATTTCCCCAGATTTCATGGCGCCTCCTCTTATTTTATTACGTCCCTGGCCCCCCGCTGGGCCGCGCACATGCCGCCGGTCATGATTTGCACCCCCCCCTCTTGGACACCCCCCTCTTGGCCGCTCCCGAGACATGGGGGCGGTTGCGCCAACGGAAGCCGGCGAAAGGCCGACGGAAGCCAGCGAAAGTAAACAGCGTTTCCCGAGATCAGGGGGCCGAACGGTCTTGCACAGTCCCTGGGTGCGTGGCTGAAGTGGGATTCCACGAAACGGATTCTGCTCGTTTGTTGTTTGTTGTTGTCGTCATCTTCGCCCGCAACCAGCCCGCGACCCATCCGCGACCCACCCGCGACCCACTCGCGACCCACTCGCGACCCGCCCGCGACCCGCCCGCGATCCACCCGCGACCCACCTGCGACCCACCAACATGACGAGCTCGTTGTGCAAGGTGTAAAAACTCGGCGCCTGCCGCGGATTTCTTCAGAGTCTCGCAGACGGCCGCCGACCTACTGCCCCCCCTCACTGTTATCCGCAGCTGCGGGGGCCATGGTATGTATCTTTTTGGGGATTCAGGGTTCCTGGAACCTGTGGCATGGGCAGCGGATTGTATGTGAAAGTCTTTGTTAACGTGGAGCGCACATCTGTACTTCGAAGAGCACGACTGGGGAGCTGGTGACATGGGCAGCGGGTACATCAGCGTCTTCAGAGGCTTTGAGAGGCTTCTTAACAGCTCGCGAGAAACATCTCAAGAGCTCCTAGCCGGCGTCTCCAGAGCCTTCTGCGAGGGAGTCCGTTGGCCTCCTGCGAATCCCAGTGGACCCAGGAAACTTTCTGGAGTGCTGAGACAGCCATGTCGGTTCCTTGGGATCCTGAGGATTTGTTCGGGAATTGCTGTGGATTTCTTCAGACTTCCTTTGGAATGCGTAGGGGTTCTCGGGAAATCCGTTGGACTCCTGAAGAAATTCTTGGGGTTCCTTTGGGAGTCCTTCGAGTTCCTGAAGGCCCTCGCCTTGGGTTCGGGAAACTTGCTGGGTCACCGAGACATTTTTTTCCCAGCTGTTCCTCCTCTCTTTCTCATTCCTACACACGCACACCTCCTGCCCCCCCTGCCCCTCTTGGCCTCTTCTATTCCTTCACTTCCCCCTCCTCCTCCTCCTCCTCCTCCTCCTCCTCCTCTTCCTCTTTCCCCCCTCCTCTGTCCTGACTCCCCCAGCCGAACTCTGGTCCCACAGGTGCTCAGGCACATGAGGATATCCGTTGGCCTCGAGCGGGAGGCCACGAACAGGACCCGCTCGGCGAAAGGCGGGCACGCGAGCGGGTGGTCCTCTGCAGGTGCCGCGACCTGGCCGCGACCTGCAGCACGCTTCGGGTCTTTTATGGTCCAGCCTTCCCTGAGTAGCCCGAATTTGTTTCTCGCGAGGTAAACTGACCTGAACTGGACTGAACGAACTGTCGCACCCGTTATGCGAAGGTTTGTTCTCGGCCGCCAAGGGCGCAACCTGTGGCGCAACCGATCGGAGGTTGTCTTATTCTCGGCCGCCGAGGGTGCAACCTATGGTGCAACCGACAGGAGACAGTTTTTTTTCGGCCGCCGAGGGCGGAACCTATGGCGCAACTGAACGGAGACGGTGTTATTCTCAGCCGCCGAGGCCTATGGCGCTGCCGATAGGTGACGGAATTATTCAGCCGCCGAGGGCGCAACCTATGGCGCAACCGACAGGAAACCGAGCTATAGCAGGATGGGGAGGAATACAAGTAGCACGAGAACGAAGTGTGGGCGTTCGAATGCGTGCGGGGCTACGCCCGATTTATGCTCGCCGTTTGGGCTGGCTTTGGGGTCCAAGCGGCGAGCTGTATTGTGATTCCACACCTGACGTTTCCGCCCAGTGTCGTGCCCTGGGGCCATCACGGATCGATCCGGCTAGGGCAGATGACGCAGAACGGTTGAGTCTGCGGCGCCGGTTGTATTTGTCACGATGCTGCAATGTTTCGCAACGCCTGATCCTAGGGTGTCGGCGTCGCGACGAACAATGTGTGTCACCGTGCGCAGCTGTGTTTCTAAAGCTCCGAGCTCTGTGTTTTTGTCGTCGTCGTCGTCGTCGTCGTCGTCGTCGGCGGCAGCGCCGCCGCCGCCTGCGCCGGCGTCGTCGTCGTCGCCGTAGTCGTCGTCGTCGTCGTCGTCGTCGTCGTCGTCGTCGTCGTCGTCGTCGTCGTCGTCGTCGTCGTCGTCTTCGTCGTCGTCTCCGTCGTCGTTGTCGTCGTCGTCGTCGTCGTACTCTTCGTCGTCGATCTTCGTTTTCTCGTCGTCTTCGTCGTCGTCGTCGTTATCCTCGTCCTCGTCGTCGTCGTCGTCGTTGCGTAGTCGTCGTCGTCGTCGCCGTCGTCTTCGTCGTCGTCGTTTTCGTCTTCGTCCTTATCGTCGTCGTCGTCGTCGTCGTCTTGTCGTCGTCTTGTCAGCGTCGTCGTCGTCGTCGTCGTCGTCGTCGTCGTGGTCGTTCGTCGTCGCCGTTCTCTGCTCCCCTGCACTTTGGAGCCCTTGATTCTTGGGCTTACGCCACACCGCCGACCCCTTGGGGAACTGGTGGTTGTTGTGTGTGTGTGTGTGTGTGTGTGTGTGTGTGTGTGTCCTGGCATCGCTCGGACGTGTGCATTTTTTTCTCGGCGAGGACCTCCGAGGAGCATCCTCGACCATTTGGCGAACAAACCACGCACGAAACCGAAAAAAACACAGGAAATGCGATGGCCAGGTGTGTGTGTGTGTATGTTTGTGTTGCTCCGCAGGGCCTGTCGTGTGCCTTGGGGGGCTTCTTGGAGCTCTTTTGGGGCTTCATGGGGGCCTCTTGGGGGCTTGTTCGGTGCCTATTGGGGTGACATTCTCAGTATTCGCCGTGCCCGCATGGGGAATGGGGTGAGAACCCACGTATACCACAGGGCATCAGTCAAAACACCCGACGAGCAATTATCGAGTGGCTTTCGGCACATCCCGCCACCGTGCTTGGGTTGCTGGTCTGAGAGGCGTCTCGGGGAGGCGTCTCAGAGGCGCCTCGGGGACTCTTAGAGACAGTTTTTCCCAACCCTCCTGCGTTGGACATTCGTTTTAAATAAAACACTGCCCGCGCGTCTTCTCCTTCTCCCGCCGCCTCCCTCCTCCTCTCCTCTTCTCTCCTGGCTCTCACGCCTCGCTCTTTCCTGCGTGCCAGCTTGCCTCCTACCTGGCCATACCTGGGGGGGCTGCGATCTGCGAAACTGTCGCCACTTTCGAGGGCTGCTAGGGGGTCTAGCGGTGTGACGTCTTACCCAGATTCAGATGAGACTTCGCCAGCCTTGTGGGGCTGCGATCTGCGAAGCTCTCGCCACTTTCGAGGGCTGCTGTGGGGGTCCAGCGGAGTGACGTCTTACCCAAATTCCGTTGAGACCTCGCCATCCCCGTGGGCTGCGATCTGCGAAGCTGCCGCCACTTTCGAGGGCTGCTGGGGGGTTCAGCGGAGTGACGTCTTATTCAGACCAGCAGGAGACCTCGCCTTCCCTGTGGGGCTGCGATCTGCGAAACTGTCGCCACTTTCGAGTGCTGCTGGGGGGTCCAGCGGAGTGACGTCTTACGCGGACCACCAGGAGACCTCGCCATCCCTGAGGGGCTGCGATCTGCGAAGCTCTCGCCACTTTCGAGGGCTGCTGGGGGGGTCGAGCGGAGTGACGTCTCAACCAGATTCAGATGATGCCTCGTCATTCCTCGGGGGGGTGCGATCTGCGAAACTGTCGCCACTTTCGAGGGCTGCTGGGGGGTCCAGCGGAGTGACGTCTTACCCTAAATTCAAATGAGACCTCGCCATCCCTGTGGGGCTGCGATCTGTGAGACTGTCGCCACTTTCGAGTGCTGCTGGGGGGTCCAGCGGAGTGACGTATTACCTAAAATTGGAATGATACCTCGCCGTCTTTGGGGGGCTGCGATCTGCGAAACTGTCGCCACTTTCGAGGGCTGCTGGGGGTCCAGCGGTGTGACGTCTTACCCTGATTCAGATGAGACCTCGCCATTCCCGTGGGCTGCGATCTGCGAAGCTCTCGCCACTTTCGAGGGCTGTTAGGGGGTCCAGCGGAGTGACTTCTTACCTAGATTCAGATGAGACCTCGCCATCCCTGAGGGGCTGCGATCTGTGAAACCGCCGCCACTTTCGCCACTTTCGAGGGCTGCTGGGGGGTCCAGCGGAGTGACGTCTTACGCGGACCACCAGGAGACCTCGCCATCCCTGGGGGGGGCGATCTTCGAAGCTCTCGCCACTTTCGAGGGCTGCTGGGGGAGTGCAGCAGAGTGAAGTCTTACGCGGACTGCCAGGAGGGCCTGCCATCACTGGGGTCCAGCGGAGTGACGCTTTGTTCTCTTACCAGGGGGTTGTTTCGAGTTCCGGGGTCGTCAGCGTCCCGACAGGGGTGCAGGGATAGCTTGTGAGGTGTCCCGAGGCGGCGGAGGAGGAAAGGCGAAGGAGGAGGAGGCGGAACCAGGAGGTTGAACAACTGCATCCAAGACGCCCCCGAGACGCATCCCACGAGACCCCATCGGCCATCGGAGTGGCCTCAGACCCGCAACCCAGGGACGGTGGCGAGATGTGCCGAAGGCCACTCGATAATCGTTCGTCGGGTGTTTTGACAGATGCCCTCCGTCTGTACACCTGGGTTTTCGCCCGTTCCCCCACACGTGCCCGTTACCATGTGACGTGTTGCATCAAGTGACAAGAGGAGTTGGCCCAAACTTGCCAGGACAATGACAGTGCATGCGCCGTTGTATGTTGTGCAAGCTACTACATGTGATGCGCTCACGTGGCACGATTCACAAGACAACCACAGAGGGACGAGGGGCGAGGGCCTGGGCTTGAGGAGGACATGAGGGCGGGAACGAAGGGCAGGAGAAGGACGCGTGGGGGGCCGATACGTCAGCGCGGCAGCAGCAGAGGGAAGGTGGCAGGGGACAAGGGACGACCACGACAGTGACAAGAGGAGACCGAAGAGTGTTGCTTTTGTAGGTCGTGCGCGAGAAATGTTGCGCTGCCTGTGCCATATCGCCGCGGCGCGCGAACAAAAAATATCAACCTGCTTTGAGTTAGTCATGCTGCCAGATTTCCTCCCCCGGTTCCTCCTCCTTTTCCTCTTCCACCTCGTCTTCCCCTTCCTTCCTCCTGGGTTTTTTTGGGGGTTTTTGTGCGGCCATCTTGGAGCTCCCTGGGGGCCTGTTGGGGGCTTCTTGGGGCAACCCGCAGGCGTCTCGGGGTGGATGACTCGAAATGTCTGTTCGGGTTCCCCACTTTGGGCCACCTCTTGGGGCTGTCTTGGGGCCCTCCTGGGCCGTCTTGGGGGTTTCTTGGGCCGTCTTGGGGCCATTTTGGGTCGTCTTGGAGCCCTCTTGGGCGCCTCTTGGCCCGTCTTGGGGCGAACTTGAAGGCCTCTTGGACCGTCTGGGACGTTGTGAACGCCCAAGAGGCGAATGTGCAAACAATGCACGTTTTCCAGAATGGGGCGGTTTTTGCTTTTGGAATCTCTCGTGGGACGCCTCTTGGGGGCTTCTTGGGGTGTCCTGGGGGCCTCTCGGGCCGTCTGGAGGCCAGCGTGGGTGTTTTGGATCGATCTTTCAGCGACTCGTGGCCCTCGCGGACCGCCCCAAGGGCCTCTTGGGGCCCTCGTGACCTGTTTCGGGGCCCTCTGCACTCCCGGGCGCGTTCACCCACCACCCCGGGGCCCCCCCCCCCCTTCCAAATCGACGGGGCCGGGCTCCTGGGGGGAAGGGTTTGGGGAGGTGGAAACATCTCACACGCCGATGAACCTCAAGGGGTCGGCGGATTTTCGTCGTCGCCGTCGTCGTCGCCGCCGTCGTCGTCGTCGTCGTCGTCCTCGTCGTCGTCGTCGTCGTCGTCTTTGTCGTCGTCGTCGTCGTCGTCGTCGTCGTCGTCGTCGTCGTCGTCGTCGTCGTCGTCGTCGTCGTCGTCGTCGTTCGTCGTCGTCGTCGTTCGTCGTCAGCCTTCCTTGGTCCCCCCCCCTCCCTGCCTGCTTCCCTGGCCACCGCGGGCCCCCCGGCTCCCCTGGTGCGTAGCCCCCGTGCAGCTGTGTTCTACAGTTGGGGTCGCGCACCAAGAAACCATCAGCTTTTCGTCAGGGCATCCAAGGCTTCTTCGCTTCGCGCGCTGCGCGGTGACTTCCCGCAGGCATTGAAGAGGCTGCTGCGCTCAGGGTGCTCTGGGGTTCCCTCGAATTCACCTCGCGCGCGGATTTTCAGGGTTGGGTTTCTCGCGAGGGTTTCTTGCGGCCGCGCCCGCACGGTAGGGGTCGGGGCCTTCTGCTTCGTTGCGCAGGTGTGCTTAGAGCTCGGAGCCTCGCTGGCGGACGCCGGAAGCTGGCTGCGGGCCGGGGGGAGGCCGTCGGATGCGGTCAGGAGTAGATCGTCGGCGGGTCCGCCGGCGGACGCGGGCGGAAGATCGGACGGCTCAAGGAAGAGCGGAAAGAGTTCGATTGGGCCGACGCTCGAGTTGTTCAGGCTTCGGTAGACAGTGTCACTAGCCCAGCACTAGGCCTCCAGAGCTGTGGACGAGCGGGGGCAGTGGCGCGTGTGGAGGATCGGAGGAGGCCGGCAGAAGTGAACGTGAGACGTCCACAAGTCTGTAGTCAGGGTTTCTAGAGTCGGCCATCTTCTTGCGCGTGCATGCCTCGCCCCGGCCCGCTCGCTAGCCCTGGCCGCGCCTTCAGCCACGAGAGCGCTGGCCTCGAACCCCACGGTTCCCGTTGAAGTGTCAGGGCGCTGCCGCTCTTTCGTGCTGGCCGCCGTGCTTCAAGGCAGGTAGGTCTCGAGCGCCTGCGAAGCGAGCGGTTGTTCCAGCGTGTATTCAATGAAGATCGTGCCAGGATCCAGTGGAACAAACACTTGATGGACGAGATCACAGCTTGGCTGACGCTCTACGGCAGCGAGAGGGCCGTCTCGGACAGGAGGAGCTTCGCGCTTCTCAAGCGGCTCATCGAGGACCAGAGCACGAGCAGGAGCAGGAGAGGGAGTAACGGGCGCAGGAGGATGAGTAGTGAGATGACGAGATGCGGAAGGATCAATACGAGAACCGGGAGCATGCGGATGATGTGGAAGTGGAGGTGGAGGTGGATGATGAGGAGAAGGAGGAGGAGGAGGAGAAGGAGGAGGAGGAGGAAGAAGAGGAGCAAGCGGGGCCCTAAACTTCGATGTCTGAGTACGTTTCTCGGCAATGGCATTCACGACATATACCTAGAGGATTCTTCCAATTGGAACCCATCGCTGCTCGATGGTGGAGCGTGTAAGAGTAAGGGTAAAAACAAGCATCTTCTTCCAAAGTGGCCTGCCTCCGGCTGCAGCGCTGGGCTGGCAGCGCGGCGTGAGGAGGCGGCCCTCGACTTGGAGATCCAGCGGGCTGACTGCCCGCGGGCCTTCACCGACGTCACGGTGCGATACGGCGTGCCAGGCGACCTGCAGGGGTTCCGGGTCGTGGCCGCGCTGGACGGGGCTGTGTGCCAGGACGCAGAAGCAGGCAAACACCTGCGGTATTCCGCCAGGAGCGCGCCCTGGCGAATGGTGCCTTTCGCCACCTGCGGCGGTTCGCACGCGACCGCGCGCAGCTGTTGGCCGGACACGACGGCGCCGCGGCCGCCACTCAGGCGCGGAGCTGACGGAGGCATTGCAGATGGCAGCACGCCAGCTCCGGACCGCGCTTGTCGGAGAGGCGGCCCCGCCAGGGCGAGCGCGTAGCCCTGGCCGCCGAGCTCGCCAGCTGAGCTGCCGTTGCTGGAGGCGCGGCGGCTTCACCAGGTGGTGAAGCTGGTCTACCAGGTGGTCAAGGTGCTGGCGAAGCGCAGAGGGCTTTGGAGGTAAAGCGCGGGTCCGTGGAACCGCGGCAGGGGGAGGAGGAGGAGGAGGAGGAGGAGGAGGAGGAGGAGGAGGAGGAGGAGGAGGAGGAGGAGGAGGAGATGAGGAGGAGGAGGAGGAGGAGGATGAGGAGGAAAACAAGGAAAAGGACGAGAGGAGAATGAGGAGGAGAGAGGAGAGGAAGGAGGAGGAGGTGGAGGAGGAGGAAGAGGAGGACTCATCCGTCGTTGCGGTCGCTTGTGTTCCGATGTTCTGCTCTTGATGCTCCGCATTTCGTTGGCGTTATCAGGCGCTACGGAATTTGTCTGCCTGAGCCTGAGCAGCGAAGAATGAGGAGGGGGGGAGAATGAGGAGGGGAAGAAAGAGGATGAGGAGTGGGGGGAATAGGGAGATCGGGAGTGGGAGGAGGAGGAGGAGAAGAGAAGGAGGAGGAGGAGGAGGAGCAGGAGGAGGAGGAAAGGCAGGAGGATGAGGAGGAGGAGGAGGAAAGGGAGGAGGAGGACGAGGAGGAGGAGGAGAATTGGCCGAACGAAAGGCGGGGATAGGGAACGGGGGGTTTACGACATCTGCTGCATGCAGCTGGTTTCGGGCCCGCCGCCAGGCCCATTCCTCGATACATGGGCGCCTCCTGGCGCCGGGAGGCGCTGGGAAAATCAGCCACCTGAGCTGATTTTCTACCATACCCTTTGCTACCCCCCCCCATTTCGTTCCCCCCGAGGGAGGAGAAGGAGGCGGAGGAGGAGGAGGAGGAGGAGGAGGAGGAAGGAGGAGGAGGAGGAGGAGGAGGAGGAGGTGGGGAAGGAGGAGGAGTGGGCGAAGGAGGAGGTGTAAGGAAGAGTGGTGGGGAGGGGAGCCCTCCCTCCTCGTCCTCCTCGTCCTCCTCGGCCTCCTCCCCTCCACTCCTCCTCCTCCTCCTCCTCCTCCTCCTCCTTCTTCTCCCTCACATCGTCCTTCTTGTCGTCGACATCCTCCTTTCTCACCCTCCTTTTCCTCGCTCTCATCGTCGTCCTCGTCCTCGATGCCGTCCTCCTTGTCGTTATCGTCGTTATCGTCGTCGCCGTCGTCATCGTCGTCGCCGTCGTCGTCGTCGTTATCGTCCTCATCGTCCTCGTCGTGTTTGTTCTCGTCTCGCCTCGTCGTCGTCGTCGCAGTCGCCATCGCCGTCGCCGTCGCCGTCGCCGTCGCCGTCGTTGTCGTCGCCGTCGTCGTCTTCGTCGTCGTCGTCGTCGTCGTCGTCATCCTCGTCGTCCTCGTTCTCGTCCCCGTCCTTGTTCTTATCACTGTCGTCGTCCTCCTCCCCCTACTGCTCCTCCGCCCCCTGGTGCTGTTGCTCCTCCTCCTCGTTCTCCTCGTTCTCCTCCTCCTCCTCCTCCTCCTCCTCCTTTCCTCCTCCTTTCCTCCTCCTCCTCCCCCTCCTCCTCCATTTTCCTTCTCCTCCTCTTTGACGTTGCCCCGTTGTGAAGCGCAACCTTGGGGCGTTCTCATGCAGGAAACAATTCGCCGACGTAGCGGAGCGGAGAACATATTATACTGGGTGGCGCGGCGGGCGAAGAGAGGCAAGCATAACAGAAAAGGAGAGTGCCTCAGAGATTGCGCTCGCCAGGCAGTCAGACACAGCTAAGCCTGGTGTTAGCTTGGTGCCCAACCTGCTGCAGCGCTGGCCTCATCTCCGCGCTTCCGGTCATTCAAGAAGTGACTCCCAGTACAGGATTGGCCTACGCTCCAAAGTGTCGTTCCTCCAGCATGGTTTTCCAACTGCACCGTTCATGTAGCTATGCTCCATACTGACATTCAATACTATGTCATGTGCCGCTATTCTGCAGTTTCACGCCCTGCTCTGCAATGCTGCGCTGTGCAGTGCTGGGCTGCGTAGTGCCATGTAATGCTATGTTGGCCAGTGCTATGCCCTGGCATGCCATGCGCGGCTATGCCATGTGCCGCTACGTTATGACACGTCTTGCGCCACAACGCCATGATGTGCCGTGCTTGCCCACGCAATTCCCAGACCATGCTATGCCATGCCACGCCACGCTCTGCCGTGCTCCCCTACGCCATGCCCTGCTGTGCTACGCCATGCGATGCACCGCGTACCTCCGGGGCACCGTGGTCCTCTGCGACGTCCGACCGTGCGAGTGGAGAGGGGATGAGTGCAACGGGGAGGGGACGGGAGGGAGCAGCAGGACGCCAGACACGACGCGAGCGCACCCAGCTTGTCCTCGTCAGCCTCTTCTCTGCCCTCCACCGCGAGGACGTGGCGTCCTCGGATTTCAAGGACTCGGGCGTCCGGCCCTCCCCGGGCCGCGGGGCGCTCCATGGCCGCCCTTCCTGCTGCCCTCCCTCCTCGTTGATCCTCCTCTCCTTCTCGCTTCCCCCCCTCCCCTCCCTCCCCTCCCTCCTCCTCGCGCTGCCCTCCCTCCCCTCCCTTTCCTTCTGCCCTCTCCTCCTCGTTGATCCTCCCTCCCTCCCCTCCTCCTCGCGCTCGCCTCGGCCTCGCGCCTCTGGCCCCCCCCCCCCTTCCTCTTGCCGGCGCGCGGCCCTGCCCGGGCCAGAGGGGGGGGGTGGGCGAGCGGGGAGCGGGGGGGGGGGCACCCGCGGCGGGCCCCCGGCCGCCGCGGCGCCGCCGCCCCTCCGCGGCGACGCGGCGGCGAGCTGAGAGCCCGACGTCGTCGGTGGCAGCCCATGGGAGCCTCTTGCATTTCCTCGAGATTCCGATGCCGCGGCCCTTCCATCGTCGCCACGGCTTGGTTCGCTTCGAAGTCCTGGTCAGACCGCACCGTGGGAGAGACCCTGGGAGTCGAGAGCCCGACGTTCGAAAGCAACCCATGGGAGCCTTGCACCTCCTCGACATTCCGTCTTCAGCCGGAGGAGGAAGTAGTGCTGATTCGGGGCTCAAGAGACGGGGGTCAATGCAAACGGGGGTCAGCCAGAGCGCAGGGATCCTGCAGAACCAGGGGTGCATTCACCCTGGTTTTGGGGCAGGATCCTGCAGGACCTTGCAGGATCCTGCGACGCTTTACTGACCCAGGTTTGCATGTACCCGAGGAGGAGGAGGAGGAGGAG